GTGGGAAGCAGCCAGAGGACTGGGGTCAGGCAGAGGACCTGTCTTCTTGCTTTCAAGAGCTCTTGAGTATTAGTCGTGGGCTGAAGGAATGGGGCTGTGGTGTATCAAGTACATTCCCAGAACTTAAGGGGTTCCACAGCAGTGGCGGGTCCACTGCCTGGCCTCAGGCTCAGCACTACCAAACGTCAGGATGATTCTTAGCTGATGAGATCTGATCCCAGCCATCAGGGAGAGGGGTAGCTTTCCTTGAGTATCTGTTTACGTGCCTGGAGCTGAGCCTTCTGCTGCCTGTGCCTTTAGCTGCTCAGTGTCTGGATCTTCTGCTCTCCACAACTCCCTCTCTGGCTTGTGGTTGTTCCTTAATGTCAGGTCCCCAGGGTAGCTCAGCTGTTTTTAAAATAAGTACTTTTATTAATATTTTGAGATTTTCATACAATGTACTTTGATCATATTCACACCCGATTCTTTCCCCCCTAACTTCTAGATCCACCCCACTTACCTCCCTGCTCCACTTTAGAAGTTCAACAACCCATTGATTCCAGTGGTCCTGTCCATATACTTCTAGACATTGGGGCCATCCCCTGGAGCATGGTCAACCTACTAGGCGCCACAGCCCTAAAGAAAACTTAACTATTCCTTCCCCAGAAGCCATCGACCATTCACAGCTCCTTAGCTAAGGGTAGGGGCTCATGAATTCCTTCCCATCCCATGCTAGATGTTGACTGGCTTGCCCTTGTACAGGCAACTTCAGATATCTCAGTTCACAAGTATAGAGGCCCTGTCATGTCCATAAGACAATAGTTTTGCTCCAGTCATCCCTAACATGTGGCTCTTAGAATCTTTCCACCCTCTCTTCTACGATGGTTCCTTGGGGAGGGGGTGTGATAAAGATGTCCCACATGTGGCTGAGTACGCCCTTGGAGTTTCTCTTCCCTTGGACCAGTTGTAAGTTTGTGCATTAACTGCCATTCACTGCATGAAAAAATTTCTCTGACGGAATCTGTACTAATCTGTGTGCAGAGCGATACAAATTTAGAGGGCAGTTTGATACTGTATTTATTTAGCAAAACAATCTATTAGTTGCACCCTTGAGGTTTGTGAGCTCCCCAACCAAGGGTTCTTGGCCAGATTTTCAGTACTAGGCATGTGTTTCCTCCTGTGGAGCAGTCCTTAAACCCAACTGGAAAGTGGTTGGTTATCCCCACAATAGCATGCCATTATTGTGCCTGTATTAGTCAGTTCTCTAACAGGATAGAACTGTTAGAATAGATATGACTGTATTAAATGGGGATTTCTTAGACTGGATTACAACATGTGCTCCAGGTAGTACAGTGTGGCTGTCTCACACTGGAGAGGGGAGACATATGGTTGTTGTTTAGTCCACCAGGCTGGATGTCTCAGCAGTCACAATCCGATGCTGAAAGCTTGGAGGACTCCTGGAAAGCTGCTGGACTTCAGTCTACATTGGAATCCCAAAGAAGTCAGTTCTAATATTGGTGAAGGAACATAGTAACAACAGATAGATGGACTTGCTAACAAGAGTGAGGGCAAGCAGGTCAAAAGCAAAGTTTCCTTCGTCCATGTGCTTTTATGTAGGCAGCCACCAGAAGGTGTGACCCAGATTTACAATGGATCTTGTTTCAAATATTCTGAATAAAAAATTCCTCACAGGAATGCCCAGCAGCTTAAGTTTTAGTTGATTCCAGATGCAATAAAATTGACAACCACCATTAGCCATTACAGTGCCCATGGGCACTTGCTATGCTGATATAAAATGGGTTTCCACATGGCTTTTTCAAACATCCTTAGACATTACTTACCCTTTCCTCAACCCCCTTCTCTGCCCTACCCTCCCATTCCTCTTCCCAATTAAAATCTCCTCCCCACTATTTCCATTTTCTCCTTCATATTGCCTATGTTATACTATCCCCTCACTTAAGATCTTTCCCCTCTCCACCAATGATCTTTCTAGTTTTATGGATTTTACAGGTACTCAAAATTAAGCATGCATGCACATGTGCATACCCACACACCCCTAAAGCTTCAACATTAAGGCCCACATATTAGTGAGAATATGTGTTTGTCTTTCTGTGTCTGCGTTGGCTCACTCAGCATGTTTTCCAGCTTCACCGGTTTACCTGCACATTTCTTGATTTCATTTTTCTTTATGGTTGAATAAAATTTCTGTTGTATAGAGGTACCACACTTCATTATCCTTCATCAATTCATGGGTATCTAGGTTGTTTTCATGTTCTAGCTATTGTAGATAGAACAGCTATAAACATGGATGGTCATGAGTCTCTACAGCAGGAAATAGTCTTTGGGGATATGCCCAGGAGTGGTATAGTTGGGTCATACGGTAGATCTATTTCTAGTTTTCTGAGGAACTGCTACACTGATTCCCACAGCAGCTAATCAAAAATTTCCCTCCCACCAACAGTGCACGAGGAGTCAACACCCCCCACAACCTCCCCAGCATGTGTTCTTTTGGTTTCTTAGTCTCAGCTATTTTGACTGGGATAAAACATTTCAAAGTAATTTTAATTTGGATTTCTTTGACAGCTAAGGATGGGTACATTTTAGAAATATTTCTTAGCCATTTGTACTTTTCTTCTGAGAACTCTGTTTAGTTCCATAGCCCAAGTTAAAAACTGGGTTGTTATACTGGTGTTTAGATTTTTAGGTTCTCTGTATATTATAGACGCTGATACTCTGTTATATGGAAAGAATCTCCCCACTTCCATTGACTACCTTGTCAGTCAATTATTTCCTTTGCAGTACAGAGGCCTTCTAATTCCACGAAATCAGACTTGCTGATTGTTGGTCTTGTTTCCTGGACTTCCAAAGTCCTACTCAGAAAGTCCTTACCTGAGCTACATCCTGAAGTGGACCCACGATTCTTTCTTTCTTCAGTTTCAGGTCTAACATTGAGATTTTTGACCCATTAGGAATTGGTTTGTGTGAAGGGTGAGAGAGAAAAAAGAATTTCACTCTTCTACACAGATATCCAGTTTTCCCAATACGATTGTTTAAAGATGCTGTCTTTTCTCAACACTGTGTGTTTTAGCATCTTTATCAAAAATCGGGTGGCTGTAGGTGCACAGACTTATAGCTGGGTCTTCTTTTGTTTCCATTTATCAGTGATTTTTATGTGCTAGTGGCATGCTGTTTTTTTGTTTGTTTGTTTTTATAAAGGCATGAGCCACCACCGCCCGGCAAATATTTATTTATTATGCATACAGCGTTCTGCCTGCATCCCTGCAGGCCAGAAGAGGGCACCAGATTACATTACAGATGGTTATAAGCCATCATGTGTTTGCTGGGAATTGAACTCAGGACCTTTGGAAGAACAGCCAGTGCTCTTAACCTCTGAGCCATCTCTCCAGCCCATGGCATGTTGTTGTTTTTTTGTGTTTGTTTTTTGTTTGTTTTTTTTTTTTTTGGTTTTTCGAGACAGGGTTTCTCTGTGTAGCTTTGCGCCTCTCCTGGAACTCACTTTGGAGACCAGGCTGGCCTCGAACTCACAGAGATCCACCTGGCTCTGCCTCCCAAGTGCTGGGATTAAAGGCGTGCGCCACCACCGCCCGGCTGGCATGCTGTTTTTATTACTAGGTATTTGTGGCATAACTTGAAATCAGGTTTCGTAATAACTCTGGCATTATTTTTATTTCTAGGTTTTGGCTATTTGGGGTCTTTTGTGATTCCATATGAATTTTAAGATTCTTCTCTCAGTTTCTATGGGTATTGTATTGGAATTCTGATTAGTATAGCATTGAATCTGTGGATTGCCTTTGGTTGGAAGTTATCTCCATTATTACCCGGCCAGTCCATGAGCATGGGTGGTATTTCTGCCTTCTGGAATCTCCAATTTCTTTCTTCAGTGTCTTAAAAGTTTTCATGGTAGAAGTCTTCCACTTCTTTGGTTGGGCTAATTCCAAGATGTTTTTGAGGTTACTGTGAACGGGGCTGTTTTCTTACTTTTTCCTCAGTATGTTTGTTGTTGGCATACAGGCAGGCTACTAATTTTTGTGTTAGCTTTGTATCCTGCTACTTCCATGAATATGTTTATCAGCTGCAGTTTTTTTTTTTTTTTTTTTTTTGTGGCGTCTTCAGGAGTTTTTATGTGTAGAATCTTACCATCTGCCAACGCACACACTTATGCTTTCCTTTTCTATTCACAGCCTCATTATCTCATTCTGTTGTCTTATTACTCCAAGGCTTCGAGGCCTATTGTTGAACAAGAGTGCAGAGAATAAATATCCTTATCTTGTTCAATGGAAGCAGATCAAATTTTTCTCCATTTAGTATAGTGTTGACTGTGGGCTTGTTGTATATTGCTGCTGCCTTTACTGTGTTGAGATATGTTTCCTGTGTCTTTAGATTCTCCAGGACTTTTGCCATGAAAGGATATTGAATTCTGTCAAGGCCTTTTCTGCATTTAATGAGACGATCACTTGGTTTCTGTCTTTTGAGTATATTTGTGTGGTGGATTACATTTATTGATTTATGTATGATGAACCACCTCTGCATCTCTAGGATGAGGTTGACTTAGCCATTTTGGATGATCTTTTTAAATTAGTTTGCAAGTCTTTTATTGAGAAAATTTATACCCATGTTCATCTAGGACAATGGTTCTCAACCTTCTTAATGCTTTGACCTTTAATACAGTCCCTCATGTTGTAGTGACCCCCCCAACCATAATTTATTTCACTGCCACTTCATAGCCATAATTTTGCCACGTAAATTTGTTATGAATAATATAAATATTTGATATGCAGGATGGTCTTAGGCAACCCCCATTAAAGGGCCATTTGACCCCAAAGGTGTCATGGCCCACAGGCTGAGAACTGCTGACCTAGGAGAGATTGTCCTATAATTCTTTATCTTTTCTCTTTCTTTCTTTCTCTTTCTTCCTATTTCTTCTTCTCTCTTTTTCTTCCTTCATTTCATTCTTTTTTTTTAAGGGTCTTTGTTTGGCCTGGGTATCAAGGTAATATGGCTTTGTACAAAGAATTCCAAAAAGATTCTTCCTTTTCTATTTTATAGAAGAATTTCAGGAGTATTGTTTTCAGGTCTGATACAATTAAGTACGACCAAGGACATAAAATAAACTCCACCCAGTGCTGCAAGGTGGTCTACTTTAGAAAGTAGTTCAATATATATACAAATAATGATACAGGAATTTTACTCCTACAGAAATTTTGGTACACTTACAAGAGACATGTTTGGTCATGCTCTTGATACCACTGTTTGTAACAGCAAAACAAAACAGTAAAAAGTATAAATAACCAAAAGCTACCAATAATATTAACAAAAAAACTTGGAAGCACCACAAATATTATCAATAAAATCAACATCATAGTATATTCATGAAATACTACTCAATAATAAAAATGAATCAATTTGGATATTAACATGGATGAACTTTAGGAACATAATACCTTATAAAAGTTGGAAAACATATACTGAAATAATAACATGAATTCAAAACCAGACAAAATTAAACAGTAGAGATATATAGAGTTCGGAAACCTATAAGAAAAACAAGTGACAAATTCTCACAGAGATCAGGTTGTGACTGACAGAAGAGTGAGGACGGATACACTAGAAAGGCACAGAGGGCTAGTCCCCGGTGCTCGATGGCAGCGCTCTGCACTGCGTCGGCTCCATTATCCTTCAATGTCACAACCGCACACCGTGGACCTTATTGAACTTAGGATATTTTAAATGAGAAAGAAATTACTTTACCACATTTTCATTTAACTTTTGGTAACAAAATACTTTATTGGTACCACTTAATGTAAAAAATATAGTAATTCTTTCGTTGTTCAGCTTCCATCTTTAAATAAATGCTAGCTTTAAAAAATAGGAGTTAAAGTAAAAATCATTTGATTATCTCAAAACCAAGTCAAAATCCACCTTTGCAAATAATCAAGTTCCCTAATTTTAAATACCATGTTCACGGTCTTCACAATAAACATGTATAAAGGAGATGCTGGCGTTTCTTACTCCGCAGAAAGCATTTATGCATCTTAAAAAACCACCTAAACACTCCCCCAGCTAGACCCCTCAACAATTAGTTATTATGAAACTGGATTCACTTTAGCACCTAGAAATTTGGCATTTGTAACATTTGAGAGTGTATGACTTACTGAACAAAAATGACTTTTCCTGGGTTTTCATGGGTTATGTACAAATAGTAGGTCCCTTTTAAAAGTCAAGGGTTAAAAAAATTATGCATGCCTTTTACTTTGTCTAGTAAATGGCCCAATGATAAAATATCCATGTGTGATAAATATTATAGTACATTCCTATTAGAATATAATTTCTTATTCATCTTGTCTCAATATAATTTACACTTCAATTAAAATAACATTCAATCTGTACATAATTTTTTAAAGTACTCCATAATTCATATTTCTATCAGATTACTTTCCTTCCTTCCCTTTTCTCAAACCAGAGTGATTTTATTATATAATGCATTAAATAGCTTTTTTTTTCAATGAAACTCCTTCAACTGAAAGTATAATACAAATGCAAACACAGTTGTGGCAAATATTAACATATTAGAAAATAAATATATATGTACCCATGCTAAATAAGACAGTGCAAAACAAAAGCCATACAAAACCATGCTATAATGTTCATATCTTCTATGCCTCTTCAGGAAGGTTCTGATACATCCGGCTTATAGAAAAAGATGTTCCCAAAGATAGTTATTTTCCTGCATTCGAATGTAATAAAATGCTTTGTTTAAAAGCTCTGCATTTACTTGTTTGCTCAAAACAATCTACTGCAGCTTTGACTATGCATTTTGAACATGATGGTAACATAAGGATATATTTATAAACAAACCATAGATTCTAAACTATGTCTGCTGTATCCATTGGCTTAAAAACAGATATTTAGAGGTAAAGCAACAAGAAGTTAAGGGGCTTTGCTTTCTGCCTTCATCATGGGCTAGAGATTTCAGATATGCCATTTAATTATTCTCTGTGAAAAAATATTCTGCATGTGATCAACAAGAGCTCTCATTTAAAAACTGAAGTTAGATGATAGACTTGGTGGTTAGCAGGTGGTATCTGCCTGTAGAGAATGACAACCCATGTTCTGTTCCCTGTAGGAATGTGCTGACCACCCCAACGTCAGCCTAGAACACCTGGACCAATCAGAACACAGGTACCACGCAGAATCTATTTCAAACTATTTTTGGAACAAATATCAAACTTCATTTTGTCAACTGTTTCATACTATAGTACTCTCACAAAACAGGCTTTGTATCAAAACACCTGTGTGTGCTTCTTACCTCAATCTGAACTACAAAACACATTCAGAAAGAACATGAAAACCAGCTTTTCTCTGGAAGAGGCACAGAATCTTGAGTTGGAATTAAGGCTGAATAAACAGTGCTGATTTGTGGTTCAGACTTGAATGTGTTGATGCTGTCACCCAGCAGCATCACTGTTTGTTCTGTACGCCTGTTTGCGAAGATGCATCTCTATTTCCTCCCTGAAGACCATCATTCCCAGGTGGGAGTGAGAAGCCTCGTTCATGGCTTTGGATTGGATGCACATCCGGTACTGCTCAGGAGTCAGCTCATCTGCACAGTGTTTCTCATGCCAGAGGTGGAAAAGACCAGGAACTGGAGTCCGAATCACAATGAGATCACCATGTAAGTATTTCCGGTAAAGATGAACATCTTCTCCACCCCAGCCTTTTACTTCCATGTCGAATCCACCTGCAGGAACAAAACTGACACTTCAAGTGTCTGACAGCCAGAGCATAAACCAGCAAATGTTCTGCTTCAGAGGAGATGGCCCGGGACAGCACAGGTAGTAGGATAACTTCTGGTTTGGAAATCCCATTAACAGCTGACATTTAGACTACGCAAGTTCAACATCAGCTGCTGAGAAGATCGCCATCACAAGAGGTATTTAAGAACACTAAGTTCTACAGGAAGTCAAAGAGAAGGAAATACAATCACATCCCCACCATTAATACTTTTTTCTGTCCTTCAAGAAACAGGATCTTCTAGGTTATAGAAAACTTTCCATAGGGGAAAACACAAGAAATGGACAAAGTGGGAGGCAGAAGTTTCAGACTGGGTGCACAGATAGTATCACACAGGATCACTCTCTGGACCACACTGCCACCATCTTCAGAGTTCACTCAGCCTGTTTGCAAAAGATCACCACAGACTGACTTGTTGACTACTAACTTTCCTCACAGGAGCAGGGAGGGTTGTGGGACCCTCACTGCAGTATCCAGCCCCGTCTCCCAACCAGGGATATACAATCTGCCCTAATTGCAAGTGGCCTCTGGGAGGACAGTACACAGTGTAGGAAGGCCTAGGGAGGGAGGGCAATCCATTTGGCCATGGGGGAATCTTTATCTATGCTGAGTGCAGGCTTTCCAGAGGGGCTGCTTTGAAATCCTCTACGCTCTAGCCTGTAACTTACTTACTGGTCTGTAAGTAAGCCTAATGGATTCAATGGAGAAAAGTGCTAGACTGTACCTTGCTGTCTCCTTGGGGTCTTTGGAGGAAGAGTAAACATTGCTTACATCTTCTTTAGGGAAGGGATTTTAGCAACAGATGGTTTGAAGCCATAGGAATGAACTGGGTTGCTGAAGGAGTTCAGAATAAAAATAAGGCCTAGGTTTAAATACTAAGAAATGCCAAGTGAAAAAAAAAAAAAAGAAATGCCAAGTTTTAGAGGTTAAACATGGGCAGAAAAAATCAAATCAGCAAGAGGCTGAGAAGTGAATTCAGGCAAGGGAGAAAACACTGGAAAAGGTGCCAAGATAGTAGGCAATTGAAGAAAGTATTCAAGGAAGAAGTTGCCAGTTGTGTGTTACTCAATTAGGGACTTAAAAAAAAGAAAGAAAGAAGAAACAGAAAAGTAATTCAAGAACAGTGAGCATGGTGGTGCACACCTGCAATACCAACACTCATGAGGTAGAGGCAGGGGCATCTTAAGTTTGAGGACAGTCTGAGCTACTAAAGGCTGTGCATGGGGTGCAGCCGGGTCCAGTCTCCATACTGAATAAATTAAAAAAGAGAGAGAGCGAGCAACAGTGGACATGGCAGCATAACTGTTATGATCTTATTAACAAAATTCTGATGAGCAGTAAAAGCAGAGGCTAACTGTAGTGGGTGGCAATGAGATGGAGATACTCTTAAAACTGGGTTCAAGCTAAACAACTGACTTTTAAAAAGTTAATTAACTAATGAGCACTCTGTCTGCATGCCAGAAGAGGACATCAGATCCCACCAGGTGGTTGTTGGTGCTGGGACTAGAACTCAGGACCTCTGGAAGAGCAGCCAATGCTCTTAACCACTGAGCCATCTCTCCAGCCTCAACAACTGACTTTTTAAAGAAGTAAGGAAAACAAAAAAGTACATGAAGTTTTTTGAACAGTTGAAAACAGTCTTAAAAACAAAATTCTGTTCAGAAAGAGCAGAGGGAAGAAGGATGCACCAAATTCTTAGTGCAGGTCACAAGTTTACTAAAACCCTGAGACCTAAACAACAACCCATAACAAAATCCCCAACAAGATATTACTTCACACACACTCCATAACAGCTGAAATTAAAAAAAAAAAAAGAAAGATAACAGGGCTGAAGAGACGCCTCAGTGGCTAAGAGCACTAGCTGCTCTTCCAGAGGTCCTGAGTTCAGTTCCCAGCACCCAGAAGATGGCTCCCAACCACCTGTAATGGGATCCGATGCCCTCTTCTGGAGCACAGGTGTACATGCAAACACAGCGCTCATATACATAAAATATATAAGCCAATCTGAAAAAGAAGAGAACAATACCAACTATAAAGCTGCAGAGACATTAGCACTATCATACTCTGCTGGGAGAATGTAAACAGACAGAGGCCTTTTGGAAAGCACCATGGCAATTCCTGAAAAGGTTAACCACAGTTACCTGATGGATTACTTTTCTCCCTGCTGTGACTAATACCTGACATGAAGCAATTTAAGGAAAAATTATTTTGGCTCACAGTTCAAGGGTCCATCACAGCAGGCATGGCTGCAGGAGTGTGAGCAGTTGGTCACATTTTCTTCCCAGCCAGGTTCAGAGAGTGATGAATCGTGCAGTTAGACTGCTTTTTAAATTCAGTTTAGGACCCTAGCGCATGGAATGGGATGGCCCACATTTAACATGGGTCTTTCCATCTGAATTAATTCAGAAATCCCTCACAGACATGACCAGAGTTTTGTTTCCTTGGTGGTTCTAAATCCCTTCAACTTGATATTCAAGATGAACCATCACACCATATAATCCTACTACAGGAAGGAGAATGAACAATGTATTTCCACAAAAGTGTATACACTAATATTCAAATGTTCATAACAGAAATACTCATAATAGCCTAAAAACAGAATCCAAGTATCTATCTACAGACAGAAAAATGTGGTATAACCAAATGTGGAACATTATTTGGCTAAAAAAAGGAATAAAGTAACCAATACATGGCACATAGCTAAACCTTGAAAACATCATGATGAGTGAAAGAAATCAGTAATAAAAGACCATGGGATGTGCAACTGCAATTATGTTAAGTGCTCAGAAGAGGCAAATCAATAGGAAGTAGATTAATGGGTTTGGGAGTGAGGGAATTGGTGGGCAATGGAGAATAATTACTAATGGGCATATGGTTTCGTTTAAGGGTGATAACAGTCTAAATTGATTGGTGATAACCATACAACTTAGGTAACTGTACATTTCAAGCTGGTAAATTTCACATGTGATCTGTAAGTCAATGTAGTACTCAAAACATTACAATATTGTTACAGTGTACAAAAATCTGTTTTTGAAAGATAGTGAGTGCTTACTATTTTACTATGTTAAAAAATTAGGGAAATGCCATTTGCTTTATCATTACTTCTTGTTTTTCCATTATTCAAGTATTACAATGATAAAGAGACAGAGTGGAAGGACTTAAATAAATGGCTGACTATAAAAGTGAATTTATTATGGGTTAAGAATATCACAAGAAATAGCCTATGGCTTCCACTGCATTATGGAAATGGAGACACTAAATAACCTGGAGTCATAGGAGTCACTTACCAAACTACTCTCTGACACGGGACTTTTTTGTGAATATGACTAAAACTGAGGGGAGGAGGGAAATTAAGCCAGACCTTTCACCACTTCTTTGGGCCAGGGGTAGACAACGTCTCCAGCTCCCACTTCAAAGATGCCCTCTTCCCCTCTGTCTTCACTCTGGGATTCTGCACAGTACTTAAACAGAAAACTAAAAAGGGCGTCATCTCTAAATGAAAAAGAAGAAGCCCTTTAACTAGATACTCCACGATTTCTTCAGCTGTGATACCTACTGACACAACAGTAAAGTTATATCGAGCTCTAGAAGAGTACTCCAAACAACTGCAGCACAGTAACATGTAGTCAAGTGTTTTCTTAATGTGGAGTGTTTTTGTTTTTAAAGAAACTAGTAAATTTAGTTTTTACCTTTATAACCCCACTTGTACTAATCTAAGACATTAATTATAAACTTCACTTTACCTTTCATATTTCAGATATAACCCTTACAATTTAACCAAAAGTACTCAAATCTGACACCTTCTGGAAAAATGTCATAAGGCCTAGACTAAAGACATCAAGTTCTATCCTTAGATGTAATGTATACGTACCAATGGTCAGAAAATCTGATTGATATTGACAAGTCATCCCGAAGCCAAAATCTCTCCAAAAACCAGAATCCTTTTTATGAACCTTATGTTAAAGAAGAAAAAAAATTCAATTTAATCTTTAATAACTAGAAGTTTTAATCAATAATTATACCATTTTACAAAAGCTGTTTGTGCTGTTATTTCTGTGACTGACAAGGGATCATATGAATTTATTCTGTTAAAACCTTACAAACAAACAAAGACTGCAATCTGCAGGAGCACAGGCTTCCTGTCGCTTGGAATTGAGCTGAACTCAGCCCCGTGCAGAGTCCAGGCTGAGTTACTAATAACAAGACAGCACAGTCCTGACATCAGGGGACTCCCGAGAGGACAAGAGCTACGTGCATGTGTACCACAATGTGCCATGATCACCTATACACACACTTATCTGGGTGTTTACCAGCACCCATTCCCCAACTTCTTTGGTACAGTTTTGTTCTGGTAATTATTTGGTGCTACACAACCTGAAGTTTTAGGAAACTCCTGACACCTGTAGCTTCTCAACCAGGCTTTGTACCTGTGAGATAGTTTCACCCCACTTCATTCAAGTTGATTGCTAGCAGGTACTGAGACAGAATTCAAACCAACAAGCTAAAAAGGGAGGGTTGCTGGGCACATTAGATCCTTTACTCTTAGGAGAAAGTTTGTTCTTTTTATGCGGCATAAGCAAGGGGCCGACAAACTACAGCCCTGGGCTAACTCTTGCCTGCCACCTGCTTTATAAATAACTTTATCATGACAAAGTTTTCACAATACAGGGAGAGAGAGCTGCACAGTTGCAACTGGACCATTTGGCCTGGAAAGCCTAAAATATCTCCCATCAGCTCTTTACAGAGTTTGCCAACAACTGGTAAAGGGTACAAAAGAAGTTTGGAACTACCAAATCCTTTTTTGCCATGAGGAAAGCCAATATTAAAATAGTTGCTGTTGAAGTCCCAGTAGAGAAACACAAAATTAGGGATTTGTAGGAAAGTAGCAAACCAAGATAAATTCATTTCAAAAAGGCTGTGCCACATGCCAAGACCAGGGGAAGGCAGGACAGAGAACAGCCTAGTCTGTGTCATGGTTTCTTACAGAACACTCTGAGCAGGTAAAACTTTGAGCCGGGACCTGAATGAAAGGAGAAGCCATGCAGATATCTGGAAGACAGTGCAAGCCAGGAGGGAGCATCCACAGAGCTTTGTCTAAAGACTGTTCAACAAAGGAAGGAGTGCCTGTGGCAAGAATACAGTAAGCGAGACCCTAAGGCGATCCAGAAGAGGCAAAATGCTAGGATGAGAGCGAGGGAGGACGGCTGAAGGAGCCCTTGTCAAGGGGGACGGATCAGCTCTAGTCACCACGGAAGGGCAGGCTGGGCCCAGGAAGTTGTTTGTCTTCAGTCCTATGGGGCAGCTCTTCCACTGGGAATGGCAGAGGCTGGGGCAGCAAGGCAGACAGAGCTCTTGAGAGGAGAAGGGAGATCTGGATGCTTATAAAAGATAAGTGAAATAGAAACAAAGAAAGCTGAAGGTGAAGGCTTCTGGGAGGGGCAGGGATCAGCATGACAAAGGACATCACCAAGGACAAAGAGTGGTAAGAAGTAGGATGCAAGGCTCCAAGGCAGCCCAGGAGCTGAGGCCTGGACTCAGTCAGACATCTAAGGCAGAATGTGTGTGGAGAGGACTGAGGTCTACCTCCCTGGGCCTGGGTGACAGTCATCCTTACAAAGGTTGGGATTCTGTAAGACAGCACTGTAGGGAACAGCAGACAAAGGAGGAGAGTACACAGCAAAGTACCCAGGGCTACTCAGGCCCACCGAGTCTGGCCTGGGTCAGGACACGAAGGTAAGGAGGGCTAAAGCAAGGTATCTCATGCAAACTGTGAGCACTGAGACAGTTTCCTGCAGAAACGAAGCTGGAGTTGGAATCTGACTGACAAGGGAACCAAGGTAAAGATGTCCTGGGGGAAGAGTTCAGACAAAACGATAGTTCACCAAGGCCTGCAGGTAAGAAGATCAGTAGGGATTAGGGAGTAAGACTCAAGGAGAGGTATTGTAGCCAACAGTCTACAAACTCATCTTGTAGAAAGCTGTGGAGTATTTTCGGGTCTAAGGAACATACAGTCTGTCACAGTTCTTGTATTGTGAAAACAGTCATTGACAAATAATCAAATGAGTAGGCGGTGCTCCAGTAAACTTTATTATGGACACTAGGATTTTAACTTCATATAATTTTCATGTGTGATAAAATATTAATTTAAAAACCATTAACATTTTACATATAATCCCCAATTTGTGGGCTATATAAAGTAAGGAAGACACCAGGCATGGTGGTGCACACCTTTAATCCCAGCACTCGGGAGGTAGAGGCAGGTGGAACTCTATGAGTTTAAGGCCAGCCTGGTCTACAGGGTGAGTTCCAGGGCCTGGCTTAAACTGCATAGTGATACCTTGTCTTAAAAAAAAAATCAGTTCACATTGATTAAAGAAGGATAAGATTTAACCACAAACCACACAGCTGCTGGCCTCTGACCTCTGGCCTAGGATAAGCAGGGCCATGTTACTAGTCCAGTGTGTTTGGTCATATGGTTTGGCCTTTATCCTAAAAGCAGTAGAACTTCTCTGAAGAGCTGTAGGAATAATTCGGATGTTTTTGAAAATCACTTGCTAGATTAAAGAGAGTAGGTTAGAAAAGCCAAGATGAGAGGCCACTTATGAAGCAATAATTATAGGTAAGGATGTAAAGCTGGCGGTGTACACAGAACAGAGAGAAGTGGATGGAAGTGGAAAAGACTTAGGGAATGGACCTAAGTCCAGGTGACTGAATGGGTGGCAGTGAGGACTAGTGCCAGACGACATACACAGGCTGCGTCTTGAATGAGGGGTCAATGATGTGCCATCCTCTCAGATGGAACCCAGAGGAAGGGCTGACCCAGAGAAGCACAATGTGGAGTTAGGCTCAAGCCATTGAAGCAGGAGCCACTTGTGAACACCGAGAGCAGGAAGAGGAGCCTTGCAGAGACTAACAATTGTAACAACGATGCAGACGGTCTGAAAATGCTGCTGTACGAAACAGGAGAGAAGATCAGAAAACAGAATGAGCCAGGCAGCCCTGAGGGCTCTGCTCAGCTGAGAACTGACAGATGAAGACTAACTTTTTCGTTCCATTTCCTTGAAGCGGGCATGTTTTCCCCCTCTAAAATATAAAGTTCTCTTACAGCAGGACTTTCACAAATTCTGATCATTCCTACAGTATAATTAGCACACAGATCAATGCCATGCATATGGTTAACATTTGATTTATATGCTGAATGAATAAATAAATGAATTTATAAGTATAGTTTTACTGACAGAATTTCAATATTCTTTTTCTTTTGAAATGATGCTAAAGACTGAACCCAGAGTTTGACTATAATAGCTGAGGCTAGTATGAACATTTCTTATGTAGCCCAGGCTGGCCTGGAACTTGAGAGCCTCTAGTCTCAGCCTGTCAAGTACTGAAATTACAGGAATGCATCACCATGCCTGGCTTAAAGTCTAATATCTTTTTAGTCAAAATACAACAATGTAGAATATTAAAGAAAGCAAACTACCTATTTTGACATCTCTACCCCATCCTAACTCTGATTCTATACATACTATGACTGTGAAGGCAATATGTTCTTTAAATTTAGTTTCTATGAAAACTCTTCAAATGTTATCAGTCTAGAGAAAAGGATTAATTATCTCTGTTTCATCTTGAAACTTATTTGGATTTTTAATCCCAGTTGTTAATACTTACTGCACTGCTATATTGCTACATGAAGCAGGCAGGCTAACCATAACCTAAATATCTAGCCCCCACCGTCCTATCCCCCAGGAATGCCAGGTTCACAAAGGCGGCTAGCAGCACGGAACCCTCTTTGAATGTATACAGTAACACACATCTACCATGGCCACAGCTAAGTCCTGATCTTTCTTATTTTCATTCCTTTCTTTTCCTCAGTTTCTACATCTGGTCCAACAACAAGCTATCAGTTCTGCTTCCAAATAATATCTAAATATCTGTGCAATTAACATCTTTTGCACAGCTATAACCACACCCCCACTTCCGTCTACTACAAAAGTCCTACTGGCTGCTTCTTGCCAGAGTTACAGTCTTTCTTCTCTCTAAATGCTGGCACCTGTACCATACAGTGCGAACTCCTTCTAGGGGTTCCACTAGTTCTATGTGACCTGGCCCAGCACTGTGCCTGCACCATGCCAGCTGTGCTCCAACCACTGGAGCTTAGCTGCTTCCTTCCAGCCATTCCACGGCTGTCATTAGCCTCATCCCTGAAATGCCCTTTTGACGGAACACAGCACAGAAGTCACCTCATCGGTTTTTACAACTTGGTTTGTTTTAATCGTGTTTACTATCTGACTTTATTTTTGTCTTCTTCCAGAATAGAGATCCTTGTGAGCAAGGTAGGGTTCTCAGTGAAATACAGTGCTTGGCACAGAACAGTCCCATACTATCATATGACTGACTATAACAGAGGCAGGCTGTACGGTACCTCGGAGTAAGCGTGCAGCACACTACCTGGGCCCCAGTCCGGTCAGTTTACCAGACACAACAGCAGCACAGCTGTGCTCTCATCTGTCAAAGGGCGTCATGAAAGCATCCATCACAAAGGTTGTCAGGGGGATTAGAGGGGCTAACACATAGGCCAAACGGAGCAGTACCATACACACAGGAAAGGGCACAGCAACATTAGCTGTTATTACAACATTTCCTGTTTGGGCATGGTGTCACATTTTTGTGATGGCCAGTACTTGAAAGACTGAGGCTTAAGTCTGAATCCAGCCTCTGTTAGACAGTAAGTTCAAGGCCAGCCCTAGGCTATATAGTAAGACCCTGTCTCAAAAAGGAAGGAAGGAAAAAAGGAAGGAAGAGAGAAGGAAGGAAGGAAAAAAAAAATCCAAAACAACAATAATAAAAAGTCATCTGGAAATACACCCATGTCAGTGTCTTGTGGGTTTTTGTTTTTTTTTTTTTTTTTTTTTTTGAGACAGGGTTTCTCTGTGCAACTTACTTTGGAACTTCCTGGAACTTACTTTGTAGACTAGGCTAACCTTGAACTTACAGAGATCTACCTGCTTCTGCCTCCTGAGTGCTGGGATTAAAGGCCGCCTGCCCGGCTACATATCTCAGCTTTTAGTGTTCCATTTCCTCCATACTTACACTTTGGTATTTACTTTATTTACATTTCATGCCCTCCTCTTGGTATATAACACTCACTATAGTAGGTACTATTAAATTTCTTATTAGAGTTTTGCTTGTGTTTAATGTTGTCAATTTATGCATACTGCTATTCTAGGCTCTGATTATCTGCTCAGCAGAGATCCCAGGAGCAGATATTACTGATAGCAGAGATGAATTGTTCAAACCTGGATCCAGAGAGCTGGCCTACATTCCCACTAGCCTCACTTGCATGGCTGTGATTTTTAAAAGAAGTAATTTCACAAAACTCTTTTATTCCTAGTAAAGTTGACTAATTATATTTGTGAATTATTGTCAACTCATTTTTCTATTATATGTGATTACTGTTTATTTGTAGTATCATTTTAAATGTCAAGTAGATCAAGTTTCTGTCTCAAATGAAGAGACTAAAGTTCAGAGTTTTTAATGACACTGAAGTTTAAGTTATGGTCAGGTATTTTGCAGGATGCCCCCCAGGATCAGTTTGTCAGAAACTGTTTCTAGTGGTTATATTGAGATTGTAGGTCAGGGCCCTGTCTCTTGTATCACATGCATCAGGGATACATGAGATTGCTGATGATGCTATCCGTCATCGTCTCTCCTTCTGTTATGGGTTCCAGGGCTAGAACCTGGGTTGCAAGGCTTGCACAGCAAGTGCTTTTACCTGCTAATGAGCTCACTCATCCACCAAGAGCAACCTTAAACATCTTAAAACGTATGTCTGCTAACTTTATCTCATTTTGCAATACTCATATGTCCATTTTAATTATTTAAATATTCTTATTCACAATATATTAATTATACATGATAACAGGTTTCAGTATGACATTTTTCTCACATGTATATAATTTGTTTTGAACATATTCACCCCCATTATCTGTAGCAGAATATTTTTTTAAGATGTGTTACATTTGTTTATACTGTGGAACATTTGTTTTAATGATGCAAAGATGTGTTGCATTCTTTTATGTTGCATTTGTTCAACTGTGAAGCTGTGTTATTTTGCCTGTCTAAAACACCTGATGGTCTAATAAAGAGCTGAATGGCCAATAGCAAGGCAGGAGAAGGACAGGTGGGGCTGGCAGGCAAAGAGAATAAATATGAGGAGGAATCTAGGAGAAGAAGAAGAAGGAGTAAGAGAACAAGGAGAGGAGGACTTCAGGGGCCAGGCACCCAGGCACCCAGCTACCCAGCTACCCAGCCAGCCACAGAGTAAGAAGGAAAGAAAAGGTATACAGGAATAGAGAAAGATGAAAGCTCAGAGCAAAAGATAGAAGGGGTAATTTAAGTTAAGAAAAGCTGGCAAGAAACAAGCCAAGGTAAGGCTGGGCATTTATAATTAAGAATAAGCCTTTGTGTGTGATTTATTTGGGAGCTGGATGGTGGGCCCCCAAAAGAGCAAAACAACCAGCAATAATTACCCTCTCCCCCCCCATCTGCTCATCCTCTTTTCTTTTCTTCTGTAATCCAGTAAGTTTCACTAAGGTTGCTTATAGGACTGTAGATGAGAGGTTATGTATAGGAGCATAGGCAACCAACCTATCAGTGGCTATACTACTGCAGAAGATGTTTGTCCTTCCCTAGTCATTCATTTCTAAAAGATGTGGGATATGTGATTAGGTGGATGTGAGTGATCCATTTACCACTTTGGTCCTATTTGTATATATACTCCTAAACAATACTGACCTATCCATAGGTAATGGGAATTGTGTGTGTGTACTCACGCTTGCTCTGTACCATGGTGCACAAGGTGCTAACCCTGGAAACCAGGTGAATGAAGTACAGGAACACTATCTCCTAGCTTTATAATGTCTCTGTAAACCACATCATTTCAAACAGTAAGCTTATTTAACATTAATAAAGAAGCTTATTTAAGTATAGGCAATAAGTAAGGCCTTGATGCATGGCATTTGCCTTTCATGACTTTCTACATAATCTCCTATAGTGTATTATTCCCTCAAAGTTGTTCAGCAAAGCAGTTTTTAATTTCCAGTTAGTGGAATTTAAAAATTAATTTTAGTTTAAGTACTACTAAAATAAATTGGCAGAAATGTGACTGTAACAATTGCTACCTTCTGGAACATGAGGGTTTTTCTGTGGTTAAATGTTTTGTCCTGCCACTATCATTTAATTCTAAAGTAATAGAAATAAAAGCCTTTTGCTGAGGGTGGGAGGCAAAAAAGGCTGTGAACTGTACGCGAAACAGCTAATTTTTCAATTGAAACTTTATTTCTACTTGTACAACAAACATAAAGGAAACTAGAAAAAAAAAAACATCGAGCCTTTCATAACCAAAGACATAAGGTCTCACCAGCTGCTGCTCCACAGGGGGTGGCACATCCTGGTTGGCATAAACAATGGCGGGATTGTAAAGACTGAACACCACAGGATAAAACACCTTTTTACCTAGAAATAAAATATATGCGTATTTCACATAAAGAGGTTATAAATGAAAGACTCTTATTACTATATTTTTATCTTTTATAGTGATAATTTTATCAATACTGAAGTTACAGAGTATCACTGTCTATTTTATAACACAGAACAGGTCAAACTATGAAACTGTAGATGCAAACTAACAGGAGAAAACATATTAAAGGGTGTTGCATGCTTTCTACTATGTGGAGGATGCAGAGGCGTTCTCTCAGGTCCACAGGAGGTGAGCCATGTCATTACTCTGTGTTCTCACCTCCTCAGCACTAACAGATGTACAGGAACCTCTGACAAGCACCAAGGAATTCAGATATTTCTGCTCTTCCCTTTTCAAACAGAGTCAATAAAAACAGTAAATACTTAGAATACTATGCAGTGCATAGATATATAAAGAATAATAAAACAGAACTGCAGACAAATTTAAACCAAGATCTGAGAAAGACGAGAAGACCTTGTCATTTAAACTGATGGCACTCAAGGACCTTACCAGCTAACTAGGCCATTTCGCCTCAGTAGAGGAACCCTTGCCATGACTGGCTTCAGACAGATATGCTAGCAGCAAGTACCTAGTAATGGTCAAGGAACCTGTTACACAGCAGCCTCTTTATTTTTTATACTTATAAATTTACAAATTTCTTTTGTATCTACAACGTATAAAGCAATGTACTGTAAATCACTTTAAAATGCATGACCTGGAGACCAAACACTACTTGTACACAGACCTCTGCACGCCTCTGTAAGGTGTGTGCATGAGTATGTGTATGCGTAGGTGTGTGTGTGTGTGTGTGTGTGTGTGTGTGGACACATTATCTTCCTGAGACTAAGAACTTCTAACTCTCCCCTCTACACCACCTGTGTGACTCTTTCTGGCCTGAGCTGCTGCCTTTTCATCAACTCCCAGACTTACCCTCCTTTGTCTTTCCTTCCTCTCCATGCCTCCACACCCACTTTAGAGCTCTACACATACTAGGCAAGCATTCCACCACTGAGATCACCCCAACCAACCCTCTGCATTTCTTTACTTCCCTTTGGAAAGAACTGTTGGAATCTGACTCCAAGGTGACAAAGGATTTGAACATCAGAGGCTCAACATTTCAATGTACTATTTATTGTCTCAGTTAAATCATGCCTAATATAGCTTTGAAAAACATCCTAAGGTTTAATAGAAACTTGTTTTCCCTCAATCATGTGACTAACACTGGAATGAGCTGACATTCCCCTAAGCTCCCAGCACGGCCTCATTCAACAGGGTTTTACCCACCTGGCTCAGCGTTTAACCGGCAGCTGTTAAGGAACTCGGCTGAGAAATATATATCAACATCACAGAAAAACATCAAGACCTCTCCCTTGTCCCAAGCTTGGGCACCCACGTTTAGTCCTCGTCCACGATTAAATTCTTCGTTCAGTGAGACCAAGGTGTAATTGTGAAAGTTAGACTCACTATGAGGAAAGCACATACAAGAGCCAATAAGTTCCATTTAAAGTTTGACAATGTCCTTCCATCAACAGAACTTACAAAATATATTTTATATTTCAAATAACTTATTATGTTGGTTATATATTCACACAGGGTAAGGAAATCTTTAGCTTCATGTGTTTGTTCATTATCAGGAAGATATATTCACCAAATGCCCACATTTGAAGTAAAATGCTAATGGTATGATATTTAAAAGGGGCACTGCCTTTTGAGATCTTAGAAATGTACTGTGAAAGAAACATACATACGTGGAAAAACAGCCATAGTTTCTGGTAACTAATAATGCATTCTATATAAATAACACACACTGAACGCTCTTCTAGCCTCTTTCAGGTCCCCAGAACAAATGCTCCTTGATCAGAAGCTCCTCCCTGATACCAAACAGGAAGGAGGTTCTCTAATCTCCATCCTCCTCTTCAGCTGCTTCCCTTAGTATCATGGGACATGTTTGTTTGGGTATCTTCCCACTCCATCAAAATAGATTTTTGTGTTCATTACTGTGACACAGTGCCCCTCACAGAGTAGTAGTTAAATAATATTTGCTGAATGAATGAACAAACAGTGGTTCTGGGAAGAGGTTGCTTGTGCCTGTAGCAGCTGAATGTCAGATGGGGAACTTGAATTACACCTTGATAGGATCCCAAAGTAAGTGGCAAGTAAAATACTTTCAAATAATCCTCAGAAGCAAAGAAAGTAGCTGGGTCAGATTATCCATACAGAAACAATGAGGAGAGGGTCACACCAATGAACTGTAAAAGAGGAAGAACGAGAGGAAAGCTAAACTGAGGGGCATCATCCATCCCAGGCCAAACAACTTTGTTAGTGCCTTAAAAGGATGGAGGAGTCAGCAGGATTTTCTTCTAGGACAGTGGTTCATACAGCGAAGCCCTCAAACCTGATGCCACCTGGCAAGGCACCAATCAGATGGTAAGTTCTGGAGCTACACCTCAGAGTCGCTGACTCAGAAGCAAGGGGTGGAGTTAGCGTCTATGCTTTAATGAGTTCACTAGGTGCCGCTGGCACTAAGGCTAGAGAACCACTGAACAGGAGTCTGGGTACCCAGACTCTTCTCTCCATCTTATGGTGTATAAATCTCTCCCTTTGTTTTGAGAAACTGCCCACTGCCAGCCTGGATGCTCTGATCACAGACTATCCCTCACTCTACCTACCCTAATAATGACTGTCATTTCAAGGCCTAGGCTCATATGTGGCCAACTGCAAAGCCTCCACTCCACTCAGCCATAATGACTGAGTAACTAGTTCAAGGGTGGGTGAAACGTTCTTCCCTGGGATTTTCTCTCCTGAATCTCTCGGATGACGAGGATGTAAGCCAAGAGCTGCCAACAGCCAAATCCCTCCCCAAGTGGAAGAAGCCAATCTGCAGCTGGGGGATGGAGTCAACATGCAAAAAACAGACAAGACCACAAGAAAATCTTCATGGTATTTAAGGGTTGGTTCCAGTCCTTCAGGTCCCAAAGTTATTCTGATTATTTTCTTCTCCAAATTTATTTGCAATAATACTGTCATTTTGGGGAAGTATCCAAGATTCTTCAGTGTTGCCTATATTCTCCTTAAGCAGGCTCAAGGTTTCTTCATTTTCTACAGAAGATCCTGACAACACAGGGAGGTGGTTTCAGTAATACACCAGGGTAAATGACTGGTACTTGGGAGGTGGCTGAAAGCAGTAAAGAGGGAAGTGGGGCACGAAGGAAGTGAGAGCTGGGCTTAGGACCAGTGGTAGTAGCAAGGAAGGGACAGAGAAAAGGCCCCGAATAGAAAGTAACTCACCAGAGACCACTAGAAGTAGAGTAAAAGACTCTGGCTCTCAGATATTAGGCCCAGGGCCTATGAAAATTGTCTCCTTCTGAGCTGAAAGACAGCCACCATGATGTGAAGAGGGAAAGATGGTGAGTCATATTTTTGTCCATCAAGGCTGAGAGTCCTTGCAGGATATGGACAGGGATATAGGTTGTGGGACTCAACAGATGGTAGCTGAATAACTCAAGAAAAATGGCTGCTCACAACCAGCAGAAAGGTAAAAAAGCCATGAAAGATATGCAGTTTATGGTGTAGTAAAAACAGACAACCAACCTAACAGTATACAGCATATTTACATTAAAAATTAAAAATCACACACAAGAACAATTTTAAAGAAGGAAGGATTGGCTATCACATGTAAAAGAACCATCAAAAAAAGGCTGAATTTGGCAATTGAGTCTTATATTTGGGCCCACAATTTGGAGATAAAAATTTCATTTTAAAGAGTGAAAAATTATTAAGGAATTACTAATTCATTCATTCAAACCTTTGAGCATCTACTATGTGCCAGTACTACATGAGCTGCTTAGTTACAGAACTACTTTTCCATGAAGTTTGGCTGTAAAAGAAAGAAACAGAGCAGTATCTACTGTGTATGGCAGAATCAGGTGGGGGGTTGTAAAGACAGACCTAAGTGCCACTTTGAGGAGGGAACGGAAGCATGGGTATAGGCGGAAAGAAAGGTGAGGTAAGTTCAGACAGTATCGAAGCAGAGATTAGATTTAGAAAAGGGGACAGGGGCTGGGGATTTAGCTCAGTGGTAGAGTGCTTGCCTAGGTTTGGTCCTCAGCTCCGGAAAAAAAAAAAAAAAAGAAAGAAAAGGGGACAGAACTTGCAAGATGCAGCAAGTGGGTAGATCACAGGACATCCTGATCATCCCTGGCTACCTGCTAAGCAATTAGGGAAGATGGGCTTGTAGAGTCACATGTGAAATGAAGAACTTACTATCATTACCACTCACCCATATACACATGTAAGGACAACTTTGTGTGCGTGTGATGTATGTGTGTATATGTATGGTGTATATGCATGTACATGTGTGTGCACATTTGTGTGTGTGTGCAAGTGAATGTCAGGGAACAATCTTGGGTGCTACTTTGCCTTCTATATTAAAACAGGGTCTCTGTGTTGTCACTGCTCACATCAGCTGGTCTGTGAACTTCTGGATATTCTCCTGCCTCCGCCTCCCATCTTGCATAGGAACCATGGGATTACAGATGCATGCTGCCAAGCTCAGCTTCACATGGGTTCTGAGGACTGGAACTCGGGTCCTCACACTGCACAGCAGGATTTTACTGACTGATTCATCTGCTCTGCCCTCAGCCAAGACTTTCAAACGCAGCTATTTAAAATCACTAAGCACCCGAATTCTCATCCTTCTTACACACATTAACACTTAGCATGTTTGCGGCTCACCAACCTTGAGATAGATTCCAGGATAGACTTGACTTTAGATAGTCCTTCTTTCCCAAAATACACAACTGTGAGATGAATCCTCTTGTCTTGATGAATACAAACATCTCTAAGAGAATTGAAAGATAAAGTTTGTTCAAGAAAACATACAAGGCACAGCTCATTCAGAAAGTAATCACATGACATTTGGCAAGAAAATGAATATGACACTATCAATACAGAAGGAAATCACATGCAGCATTAAGCAAATATAAAAGTGAGGATCCTGTCCAATTGTTGAAGGTATTACAGTGAAGGAACACGGTCTGTGTGTCAGTGAGTACAACAAAGACCATGACTACTTTACTGTCATATTTCAAAATATTTTTGGAACATTTGCAATGGGATTGCAGTAGCAAATTAAAAACTATTTGAGGAAGTACATCCTATCAGTTCAGAACCAAATAAATAAGTGTCTCAGATCAAGAGACTGTTCTCAAATGGAATAATTCAAAAGATTAGCCAGTGCTGCTGGCACAGTGCTGATTCCACCTATCATCAACAAGAGCTGCCATGACGGAGGTTACTTAGTAAAGCAATGCCAAGAAAGGCAATTTTAAAAAGCTGTAGGAAATCATATTTCATGGGAGCTATTTCAAACAGGCAAAACTCAGTTGGAAGTGTGACTTTTGGATATCCTATCACAGAATAGAGTTAACTAATTTTTATATATGAAAAGAAAGATTAGACTCATAAAGAACTAAAACTGGTATATTAAAACATGACAATTGTTAAATTGAAACAAAAAAGCAGTCTTTTCCTTAAATGGTTCTTCTAACACACTTTAACATTTAGCATTTTAAAAGAACACAATAAGTACTCTGCTTCCTAAGATGGAATGTTCTCCTTTTAGTTGAATGTTTACATTTTTAAGTTGATTTCAATCTTAAAATTCAAATTGCTTTCAAGAGATTTTACTGGGAGAGGGAAATGTTTTGGTGGTTTGTGAGTTTACACATTCCTCAAAAGTCATGAGAATATGGCTTAATTTTAAAATATCTTTTACATTATCTTTAGACTATATGGATTTTTATTGTACATAAATTAGGCTTCAATATAGTTGGCTTTTAAAAGTTTAACTTATTGGGGTTGGAGAGATGGCTCAGTGGTTAAGATCCCTGGATGCTCTAGCATAGGATCCGGTTTCGGTTCCCAGGCCACATGGAGGTACATAACCATGTTGAACTCCAGTTCCAGGGGACTTGATGCCTTTTTCTGGCCTCCACGGGCACTGTACACATGTGGTGTACATATATACATGAAGGTAAACACTCATACGTGTAAAATAAATCTTTTAATAAAAGTTCAGCTTATCTTAAATTCAACACAAAGTCAAACTGAGTTTCCAAGTAGTTGCCACCTTCACATTTATTTCATAGCTCAAACTGTCAAGAAACATAATGCACTATATATGCTTTAAGAAAAAGAGAAATCTAAGAAATATCCATTAAAGCCTATAAAATTATTCTATAGTTCTAAGTAATCGTATTGGGTGAAGATTAAGTAAATCTGTACAAAATATGGTATTTAAAGAACTTAGCCACGTCTGCAAGTTCAGAGTTACCTGAAGTTCTGCATAAACTGTGAAAATGCTTCAGTCCTTTCAGCAAGTGGCACAATGATATTAATAATTGATCTCGTAATGTCAATCATCTCATTCTTCACTTTCATGAGTGGCCCAAAAGGGCGGAAGAGGGTCACATGTCTGTATTCCATAAGGTCTGCTTTCTTAAAAAAGAGTTCATACTGTGTGCCTTTATCTCTCTCAGTACGATAATAGCCTAAAGGAAAGAGTTTGGAACAAAACAAGTTCATGTCAAAGTTCAATTCAATAGGAATACAGACTTCACTCAGGCAAGGATTGAAAGTATTAAACCAGACTGTGTGGACTTTATATATTTGTGAAAATACCTACTACGTATAGCCAGAAACAACTACTCTTTGGAAGAAAAGGTTCACAAAAGAAGCTGTTTGCTCTGGTACATTATTCAATCCACAAAATAACATCAAGTGGTAATTATTCCTTTTTACATACGACTTTTCCCCCTTAATACCAGACCCTATTGCCACAGCGCCAAACAAATACTTCTGTAATATTAAATTCTGAGCCCAAGAGTCAAAACTTTTATTACTTGGTTCAACTCAACAAAAATTAATCAAATACCTTCATGTTAGTCATAGAGGATACAGAGACCATGTGGTCTCAGTTATGAGGGCAATCTAGTTAGGAAGACAGAAAAATAAACAGTAACAATATAATGTGTAATATGTGTATGTATGTATATACACATATGTATAGACACACATGCATATACATATAGATATACATATATACACATACATAAACATATAAATATATATATATATAAAAGTCAGACAAAGAAATATTAGTATAGATTTTAAAACAATGATCTGAGGTGTGTTTAGGAGACTGACTGGGCAATATGAGTTTTAAGTGTAACACTCAGGAGTAAAAAGGTTAGCCCCACCCCAACCCTCCTAAGGCTTACAGTCTAAAAAGAACCACTACTAGGATATGGGCAACACCACAAAATGCAGCAAATTTTGTGACAGAGGATGCATTATAGAGTTGACAAGAGCACACAGAAAACATCACTATTTTAGGTTTGAGGTTAGAGGCCACTTCCTGGAAGGAATGGCATTTACACCAAGGCCTGGAAGAGGAACAGAAGTTGCTTAGTGGTCGCCAGGAATTAATTTAGGAGAAAGACAGCCATGGCACAGTGGAGGAAAAGTAAAAGACAGACTATATTCCAGGAAGGTGACAGGCGCTAAGGAGAACTACAAGCAGAGGCTGCAGGACATACAACTGTCACGTTCAGAGCAGGTATAAAGGCATGTCATATGCTACTTAACTATCCTATTTCCTCTGCAGCTTTCAATTCTGCCATGAAATACAAAAAACAAACAAAAAAACCAAAAAACAAAAAAACCCCAAAAACAAAACAAAAAAACAAAACAAAACCCTAAGCTTTCCAGAAAGTTGGGAGAATTTTGAGAGAAACAACTAGTAAAAAAATTGGCACGACTTAACAGCAGGGAAAAAGAGGCGGCCATAGGAAGAAGGTAGCTAAAATGCCCCAGCAAAGCACAACGCCTTGCCCAACAGCCCTCAGAAGCCACACAAGTGACAGCCATGACAATCTGGAGTCAAACAAGATGCTTATGTGGTAGGATATTTATAGAACAAAGCAAAAAGAACTTTTAAAAAACACTTATATCCAAAAGAGTGTTCTTTGCAGTGAAATATCTAGCAGTGGGCATTAATATGGACACAGGTAGGTAGGGGTGTACAATTACTTCTTTTTAGAACAATTAACAAATATCTAAAATGTACATGACCTTTAAGTTATACACCATCTTAAAAACCATACCCTGGGTCTGGAGACAGCACAGAGGTTAGGAGCACTGGCTGCTCTCCTAGAGGACCCGAGTCTGATTCCCAGCACCCATACGGCAGCATAACTAACTGTCTGTAACTCCAGCCCCAAGGGATCCGACACCTTCTTCTGGTCTCTGCAAGCAATGCACACACGAGGTGCATTATACATGCAGACAAAAACACCCCTACACATAAAAATAAAGGAAAGCCCATATCCTTTTCACAGTTTGTATTATGAAAATGTGCTACTTCCTTATGTTTCCAAATGTAAAATTATGTATTCCCTTTGATGCTGTGACCATTTGTTTCTCTCAAAATGGAAAAATACCATTAACTTACTGCATTAGATTTTCTCATTCCTTATCAAATGGTTTTCAAATTTTGAACCTTAGTTCATACATTTTTAAAAACATAAGAGGAACATCAACACCAGATAAGAGAGGAATGCAAATCACATGGCCCACAAGAGTCCTTCAACTTAATAGTCTTGTATTTAGGCTTAGATTTACTCTGTTTTCCCAACTCTTATTCTTGTTTTTATTATGATCTCATTTTAACTTTTTCCAAAAGCCATTTCAAATTTTTAGTGAAATAAAATGGATAAAAATATAAATGCTTTAGTACTGTGGTAATAATTGATATATTAGCATATGCTACTAGCATTCTGTCATACTAACATAAGACTTTATCAAGATATTAAAATTGTTTTTATATTTGTGTGTGTCTGTATGCACATGCACACGTGCCACAGCATGTGGGTGGGGTCAGATGACAACTTGCATGGATCTTACCAACATATTTTTCATATTACCTTCTATGAAGTCATTTTCATTAAATATCAGTTTCTCTCCAAGGGGGCCCTCCTCATCTTCCTGTTCATCATCTTCATCAGGATTATTAATGACCTCCAAGCCAGCTTCAATAACTTCTACCAATTCATCTCGTTTGTCTTTTCTAACTGGCTTTTCTTCAGGATGGCGAGTGAGACCCATTTCCAACTGAAATACTTTCATTAAAGTGAAACTTTCAAAGGGAATGACTCCATACTCACTGGGTAGTTTGGCTCCTATGCTAACTTCAGCTCTGTCGATCTGGGAATGAAGAAACTCTAAGAGATCACTAGGTGTCTGCTCTCTGTTGCCTTGATAGCCTATGCCATTAGCCCCTATATTCTTTTTCTCTTGCAATGATCTCATCTTCTCACTCATTTCTTGTAATTCTTGCTTTAGCTGGGCAATCTGGCGTTTCAGACTGGTTGCCCTGGTTTGGTAATGTTCTTCTTGCTCCTGCAGGAGGGCCTGGTAATATTCTTTACCATAATTTTCTCTACCAACACCAGGAAGAGATGCATTTCCATCAGTCTGGGGGGCACATTCCAGGAGGTACATAAATAATACTAAGCTGAAGAACAAAGCAAGGCCCAAGAGCAGCCACTGGGTCCGGCTGTGAAGAATCGGTCCTCTTCTAGACATCCTCACCACTGTGTGTTTGCCTAACAAGACAAGCTCTCTGCTTGTTCATAACTTTAGCGAAAAATTACCAGAAGTTAAAAACAAAATTAGGATTTCCATAAAAGGTACCCAAGTGAACTCTGCTGTAGTTTAAAAAGATTCTTTCTTCAATAGTCATGACTACTTGCAGAAGTGAGAAATTAAGTGTATGTCCTGTATTGTTACCATGATATCCACACTAAGCAATCTGATCTATAAAATCCATTCTATGGGTGGTGACTTTTCTGAAAGAAACAGATCAGAGTCAATCAGAATTTTGTTTCTTTAAGTATATCAAATAGTTGGCAGCTAAGTTACTACTGTATGTAGAGTTCCAGGGAGCTGCTAACACAGTTTAAAATAATTGCTAAGCACTGGGAGAAAATATTCAGAAAAATACTATATAAAATATTAAAATATTGCCAGGCGGTGGTGGCACAGGCCTTTAATCCCAGTACTTGGGAGGCAGAGGCAGGAGGTTCTCAGTGAGTTTGAGTCCAGCCTGGTCTACAAAGAGAGTTCCAGGCCAGCCAAGACTGTTACACAGAGAAACCCTGTATTGAAAAACCAAAAAAAAAAGAAAAGAAAAGAGAAGATTGTGTCTAAAACTTCCAGCCCATTTGTCTATACACTCATTACACCTCCTGGAGCAAAGAAACATCAAAATGATGTTCCGTTTTTTTACACAGATTCTAATGAAATCATTTTAAAATCATGCTCCTTATAACTCTTTATTAACACACCACTTTCTAACTAGAGCATGTAATATGTGGGAATTGGATTTCTGTATGTAGTTTTTATTATAGCAATAACGATTTATTGCAAGACAAAGTTCTTCCAGTTATACTCACTCTAGCTCATTAATTTATTGTTCAACTTAACCAATCTAGGGAGCAAAAAATCAAGCAGGGTGGGCACAATTTCAAAAGGTCACAGACATCTGGAAAACACATTAAAAAATTTTTATATCCAAAAGTCCTCTGGTAGATTACTTGAGCATTACATCATTTTCCAGTGTATGACACAGCAAGAGATTCCTTATAATTCTGGAAGATTTGGAGTTGATATAAAGAAAAAACACAAATGATTTAATTAATTGTCTGCCTTGAGAAAAACGGTAAATTTACAAAAGTATATGCTACCTTTCATGCTCCACCCAGTTGTGTGGGCTCTTCCAGCTAATTCTAAACTAAGGATTACTGACTCTAGAAATAGAAGAGATTAAACTCAGGCAAGAGGAGGCAAGAAGTCCTCTGCTGCAAATAGAACTTTCATCCAATCAAGTGTTTCTGAGCAGGATAAAGTGACATGCCAGGGGACATTTCACAGGAACACTTTCTTCAGTGCGTGTGGCATAACCCAGGAAGCCGATCAGTGAGGACATCAGTCCTAGTTACCTGCTTTCTTAGTCACTAGGAAAACCTGGGTGCCTGCTGCAGAAAATTCTGCATCGTGCACTTTTTTGTGGTAATTTGCCTTAAAATGTAGGCAAGATGAAAACTTTTTATGACAGTAGACCACAAATAATAGGCCTAACTTCCCTAAGCCATTTGTTATCTTAGTAAATCAAATGACAACCAAGTATCCTGAAAAATTTAATTCACTAAGTGTCTTTTGCTATGGCAATATCTTTTATTATGAAAACATTTACAATATGATTGTAAATCTTATTTAAATGTTTGAGAAAAATAGGGGAAAATTTAAGTTTTAACAAGCTAATTAAAAGACAATGCGAAGCTAATACTAGTTCTAAGGATTTACCATTGTTTAGAAACATAATCTTTGACAAAAGTTATTACTAGCCTACTTGTTAGGGAAAAGAAAGGCTACAGTTCAAAGTGTAGAAACATAATCTTTCATAAACTGTTAATAAACCCGGTGGTGATAATCCCAGCACTCAGGAGGCAGAGGCAGGTGGATCCCTGTGAATCCAAGGCCAGCCTGGTCTACATAGTGAGTTCCAGGATAACCAGGGCTACATAGTGAGATTCTACTTCAAAAAAAATAACATCAACAACAAAAACTGTTAATAAAGATTGACATACTTAACCATACAATATACTCAAATGATTTTGAGGTATAACTTGATCATGAAGTAACATGTTCTATGTACCACAACCTTTTATTAATAGGTCACTTCATAGTCTTTTCTTTTATGTATATGATATATTTTATACAATGACCTATAATTCATAACGAGTCACTACTAAAGGTTTACTTTTCAATGAAAGAGAAAATATTAGGAGCAGTAAGTTTTGCATTGTGATTAAATTAAACTGTGTGTGTATATATGAGACTTCCATGTAATTGGGTTGTGATTAAAAAAAATTCTAAGCCGGGCGGTGGTGGCGCATGCCTTTAATCTCAGCACTCGGGAGGCAGAGGCAGGCGGATCTCTGTGAGTTCGAGGCCAGCCTGGTCTCCAAAGCGAGTTCCAGGAAAGGCGCAAAGCTACACAGAGAAACCCTGTCTCAAAAAACCAAAAAAAAAAAAAAATCCTAAAAGACTCTAATTTAAGACCCATTTTTCACATATTCCATATAATCCTTTCAGAACAGTGCTAGTATTAGCCTCATTTTATAGAAGAAAATTGTTCAGAAATAAACAGATTTGAATAAGGTTATATAACCATTAAATGGAAGCATTAAAACAAGGGTGTTCTTTCTCCCATTTTAATAAAAATATAGATTTTATAATATCCATGTGTGATTTAATGTTGCAGTTGATTGTTTTCCATTGAAATGAAAGAAAGGCTGTTATAATAAATTAGAGTATACTTGCACAGCTCTATGGTAGTTATTAAATCTTACTTGCCTAGTTCCTAAAAGGAACTCTGGCCACATATCACAAGGCCAGATTATAATGGTTCTAAGCTACTAAGAATCTTAGAAGGGCTAGAGTTACAGTTCAGTGGTGGGGTATCTGCAAGTATGCTCGAGGTCCTAGGTTCAGCACCCACTACACACCCACCCACTCACACACACACACACACACACACACACACACACACACACACACACACACACACACGCATGTACACACACACCTTTCTGCTATTACACCTTGAATCCATCTTTTGTGCACTGTTTATGTGTTATAGATATGACATTCACTCACAGCTCAGGGTTAATTCAACCAACCTATAAACACAGTGAAGTGTCTGAAGAGATAAAGAATATTGTAGTGACAGGAAAATGAGAAATTAAAGATATATAAGACAAAATCAAATATTTTTAGAGTTAGTTGAAAGAATTTTAAAAAGTAATCAATTCTAACTCAAAAAGAGACTAAGAGACTTCATCCTAAAATGGAGTAACAGCAACCAGATTTATCTTTATGTTTGAAACAACCAAAATCATACAGCCCACCTCCTACAAACACTGCAAAATATGAAACAACAGTTTTCCAGATGTTGAACATCAGGTATTAAAGTGATCCTTGGAGTAATGAGAAACAAGTCCTTACATAGCTTACTGAAACTGTTTCTGATATTAAATATAATTTGTATGTATAACTCAGGAAGGCAAGCCTAAGCAAAGCCCAGCAGATTTCCCGAGTTGACAGGATGGACCTGATACTCTGAAAAGACCAAGGCACTAAGGGTTCAAAGGTTACAACTCCAGAGATCCTTTGGGTATTCAGCAGAGTGCTTGTTCATTAGTGCAGGCTTGTGAAGAAATCAGCCAAGGAAAAGACTATAAGAAACCAGAGGACACAAACTCCAACATTTATATAGGACCAAGAATAGTATATGCTCCTAGCAGACAGACTGGAAAACTTAAACTTCATGGGGGTACTGGGTATTCAAAAAAGTTTTGCCTCGATCTCAGGCCCAGCAGTCAGCCAGCAGGCTACTCCACTGCCACCACCACCCATTAGACTCTGTAACCTACAAGACCCAAACCCACCGAACCCATCATCCTCCCCCTGGCCAACCATTCCCTACAACATCAGCAGCCCCTAGAGCACAATCACCACCTGCACCAACTGGAAGAAGAGCAGCCTCCCCATGAACAGCCCTCTCCAGCAACATCAGCAGACGCTATAGACACAAGTGCCACCATACCAGCTGGAAGAACAGGCCCAGGCAAAACCTACACCAGTTGGAAGAACAGACTTCATAGGCACAAGTAAAGTCCACACCAGCCAGAAGAACTGGATGATATGCTGGACCTAGGCACCCAAACCCCCACAAACCTCAGCTGAGACAACCCTACTCGACCTGACAACCAGCCAACCACCAGAACTTTGGCCATTCAGGCCAAAAGACAAAAAAGGAACAAAAGACCCATCCAACAAAGGCATCAAAAAAATCAACACCTGTTCCTATAATTATCCCAGATACATAAACAGTAGTGTAAGAAACATTCAACAACATACAGAGCAATATGGCACCACCAGAACCTAGTGGTTCTAAAACAGCAAGATCTGAACATCCCAATGCAGATGAAGCAGAAGAAAATGACCCTAAAAATAACTTTATGAAGATGATAGAGGCCCTTAAAGAGGAAATGAAAAATTCCCTTAAAGAAATCTAGGAAAAGACAAAAAAAAAAAAAAAAAAAAAAAAAAAAAAAAAAAAAAACCCGGGAAGAAATCAATAAATACCTTAAAGAAAGCCAAGAAAAAACAATCAAACAGGTGAAGGAAACAGTTCAAGACTTGAAAATTGAAATAGAGGCAGTAAAGAAAACACAAACTGAGGGAATTCTGGAAATGGAAAATCTGGGTAAATGAACAGGAACTACAGATGCAAGCATAACCAACAGAATACAAGAGATGGAAGACAGAATCTCAGATGTTGAAGATACAATAGAGGAAATAGATTCATCAGTCAAGGAAAATGTTAAATCCAACAAATTCTTAACATAAAACATTCAGGAAATCTGAGATACCATGAAAAGACCAAACCTAAGAATAATAGGGATAGAAGGAATAGAATTCCAGCTCAAAGGCATAGAAAATATATTCAACAAAATCACAGATGAAAATTTTCCTGGGGCTGGAGAGATGGCTCAGCGGTTAAGAGCACTCACTGGCTGCTCTTCCAAAGGTTCTGAGTTCAATTCTCAGCACCCACATGGTAGCTCACAACCATCTGTAATAAGATCTGGTGCCCTCTTCTGGCCTGCAGGCACACATACAGGCAGAACACTGTATGCATAATAAATAAATAAATAAATAAATAATAAATAAATAAATAAATGAATAAATGAATAAATAAATAAATAAAACTTTCCCAATGTAAAGAAGAATATGCCTATGAAGATATAAGAAGCTTACAGAACACCAAATATACTGGACC